GATACCAGAAAGCAATATTCCCTTTATTACATGTTTTTCTTTAGAAATGATAGTGAAATGGATCCCACCTATTTTAGAGAAAGATTAAGGATTTAAAAGAGACAGTGATTTTCAATTTTATGACCTGCACTTGATTCCCTACAAGAGTTTCAAAGGTGTTTGCCAGCCAGTAATTCTCCTCCCGTGGATGGGTCACAGTGATTTCCTACTCATCAGCCTGTACCATGGAATGGAGATAAAGTGATTATTACAAAGCTCCCTTGAAAAGGGACTGACTCTTACAATGACCTGGACTCACGGTAGATGTCTTGGCATTCATTCCTGTATGAATGACTGAAAGTAAGGTCTGGGCCTTACCCTTATCCAGTAATGAACATGAAAGGTGAGTCAGTCTCTTCACTTTTGAAGTCTAGAGATCCCTTAAAAACATTCAGCCATTGAAAATGGTAGGAAAAGTCCAGGCACGGTGGCTCACTCCTGTAATCCTAACAACCTCGCGAGCCCAGGAGTTTGAGACCAGTCTGGGCGACATAGCGAGACCCCATCTCTACAAAAAAAAATCAAAAAATTAGCCAGGTGCAGTGACATGCACCTGTTAGTCCCAGCTACTCAGGAGACTGAGGCAGGAGGATTGCTTGAGCCCAAAGGTCCAAGGCTGCAATGAGCTATTAAAAAAGAAAAGAAAAGAAATGGTAGAAAAAGGGAAGGGAGACAGAAATGGTTATCTGCCCAGGCTCTCAACCTATGCATCTCCTAGAGTCAAAGGGAAGAGTTGAGTTTTCCAAGAAGGCGGCTTGGTAAAGGTCATTCTTGGTGTGAACAAGACCAGGGGAAGAGAGTACAGCTTTTCACCTCTCTAAGGTGTCCTGTAGATGTGATGAGAGGAAGGCAGTTTTAAATGTGTGCCTTTTATCGATTTGGGACTGCCATTTTCCTCTCAAGCTTTCCAAATACATCTCTTTTCAGTGTTGTGTAAATAGCAAGCTTTCTGTTTTAGGGATACTTCTGTTCATTCTTTTCTGTTCATTTAAGCTGTTCCATCCTCTAGGGGAAAATAAGGACGAAACAACATCCTCATCCTTGTGAGCTTACTCATTGGTGGGAGCAACAGGTAATAAGCCTATGAATATGTAATATGATGTCAGGCAGGGACAGGGCACTGAAGAACCATCATGCAGGGTCATGGGAGGAGTGTGGTGGTGATGCCTCTCTATCCTCCAGGAGATGTGTCATTAAAGTGGCCACAATAGACACGAAACCCACCGCATGCCCCTTTTTATCAGCAGCGCTCCATTGTGCAAGGCTGGATTATCCAGCCTGGTAATTATTCTGCCCTCCCTCTTGTCGCCTATTCTTTCTGCACACCTACTCACCCTCAGCCATGTGCTACTTACACAAAACTTGTATCCCCAAGTCTAGAATTCAAACCCCCTCCCTACGTGTTCCACAATAGCCCTCATCATGGGACTCTTCACAGCAAAATTCATAGCGAGAGAATAGCTGGATTGTGTGAACATCTGTTATCCTTGCTTTTTGTTATAAAAATATTATATTCCATGGTTTTTAAAATTTGCAGTATAAATTGCATTTCATAGTCAGCATATACATCTATGGAAAAAATGATGGGCTTTGCTGATTCTCCAGGAGAAGGCAACATGGTTCATGGAAAGAACACAGGGCCTGGGTGGGAAGACCTGAGTTCACATCCTGCTGTGATCACCACCGAGAGATCACTTGTGTTCTCAGAGACTTCATGTGCCCATTCATGCAAATCAAGATAATAACAATACCCTTCTTAACTCTGCAAGTTTTTGTGGCGATTAAATGAGATGATGAACATTTACAACACACTTTCATGGGACACTAAAGGACCATCTGTGGTAGCCGTGTGGTTGTTTCGAAAGATGCTCCTGCTCCTTCATCCTGAGCTGTGGAACCCACTGGTATCTTTAAGACATTGTGTGGAAATATTCTGAAATGGTGCATCTGTCCAACATCCTGTGAACATCATGGAATGCTCTTTAGTTTCTGCATGTTTATCCCTCTTATGTTTGTCAAGAAAATGACGTTATTGAGTGCTACCTAGATGACAGGGAGCAGAAATTCATCTGTTTTTCCCCTGGAAAATAATTTAAGGCCTTTGGTCTTTGTTTAAATTCATTATAGGATGTTAGTATAAGAGGAAACCGTGTAGATCTCATCAAGCTCAATGACGTCACCTTACAAAGCAGCCTAACTTTGGACAGTCTGAATTGAAGTGGGCTAAGGGCCTGTGAGTATAGAATTGGAAACTGGAATACCATAAGCTCTCTCTGTTACCTCTTCTGTGCACACACAGTCCTGGAATGAAGGCCACACCATACCAACGTGCTCTTGCTTGCATAGATCTCTGTGCCTTTGCTCCTCGAGTTGTCTTCTTAGGAAAAAGAACTCTAGAGCACTATTTCCAAAATCCTAATGCTCCTTTCACAAAGAGAATTTCCCTACAACAGCAAGACTCTATCTAAGGGTCAGGGATCCTAATTTTAGCAAATTAAGTAATTGGAAATGTAATGTGATGTACTCTGATTGCGTGTGACTTCAATTCAAATATTTGATCAACTTATCCATCAGTTCCAAACACACATGCCATGATGAGGTTGAGGCAGGAAGATCATCAGCCTCTGTCATGGAGAGGCTCACAGTTAATGGGGGTGGGGGTAAATGCTTAGCCTGTAATTATAACCTAATGTGGCAGATGCTGTAACAAAGCTGGGAACAGAGGCTATGGATGTGCAGAGAAGGGACTGATTTCCATTTTTAAAAATCAGAAAAGCATGCTCAAATGAAATAAGATTTGAGCTATCCCTGAAGGATAGGCAGGATACTCTTTCTAGGCCAAAACCTGAAGGGTGAGTTCTGGGGTGGACCAACTGCAGGAGCAGAGGGAGGAGGCAAGAAAGTCCACAGTGTACTTGGGCAGTGGCACGTGGTCTGATGTGGCCGGAACACTGGGGAGACAGTAAAGAATTATAACAAATGAGATTGAAAGGAGTTGGGGGGTCAGATCGTGAGGCACCTCTTAGTCCATGCTATAGAGGGTGGCGTTGACCCAGTTTACAGTGAGGCCTTTCCTGACTCTTTTGATTAGGAGAATTACATGATCAGACCGGTTTGAAAGCAGAATGGAGGGTGGACTGGGTGGATGCGGAGGGGGAGGTTCTGGAAGGAGAGTAAGGTTTGGAGCCACTGGGGGACCACTGCCTCTACATAGGCAGTAGTATAGTGACATCAGTAGATCAGGTCCTATAGTCTGACAACCTGAATTCAATGTCTGCATCCCTCTGGTTGTGTGACCTTGGCCACGTGCCTTTGTGTTTTCCTGTCTAAAATGGTAAGATCACAATAGTACCTATCTTTTAGGATCCTTGTGAAGCTCAAGTAAATCAACACATGGGACAGTGTGAGCATTTAGAAATGTTAACTTCTGGCATCATCTGTAATAATCCAGTTAGAATGAACAAAGGTGGCCGGGCACAGTGGCTCATGCCTGTAATTCCAGCACTTTGGGAGGCCAAGGCAGGTGGATCACGAGGTCGGGAATTCAAGACCAGCCTGGCCAAGATGGTGAAACCCTGCCTCTACTAAAAATACAATAATTAGCTGGGCTTGATGGTGGGCACCTGTAATCCCAGCTACTTGGGAGGCTGAGGCAGAGAATTGCTTGAACTCAGGAGGCAGAGGTTGCAGTAAGCCGAGATCGCGCCACTGCACTCCAGCCTGGGCGACAGAGTGAGGCTCTGTCTCAAAAAAAAAAAAAAAGAATGAACAAAGGCTCCATCTCGGAGGTTAGGATGAGATTCTTCACGTTTACCTGTGGTTTTAGAAGCTAGTTAGCCCTTAGGAAGAGGGAGGGTGAAAACAACCCATGTGCAATGAAGTCCATTTGAATCTGAAGCCAACTAAATGCTTAATGCCAAAGAATTTTGATGTGAATGGTCTAGAATAGATCTTATTACACGAGTCAGCAATTCCTCAGGGAGGTTGACAGGTACTCTGGAAGATGTGACTCTCAGGCCACTGAGTGTCATTCAGTAAATCACTGATCTGGGCAACAGAATGAGAAAACCTGTTTCACTCAAGCATCAGCTTGGAGCTCTTGCATTCATGAGGTAACAGCTCAGGAACTGAAAGCAGGCGTGCAAGTAGCTGAGTAAGTAGAACCCCAAGAGCATCAGCGTCTTGGTACAGCCCCCAGAGTGCCAGCCTCAGACCTGACAAGTCAGGAACTCACGTGAGAGGATCTGGACAGTTCTTCATCATTCAGCGAATGCTGCAGATTCCTGATAATTAATACCTACGTGGCTTTTGAGGAACTCACATGGTATAGTGCTGAGAATGTAGCAAGCAGCAAAGCCACTGTGGATACTCTAGGCCAGTGCCTCCTAATCTGAGATGATTTTCGTCCCCCAGAGGACATTTGGCAATGTCTGAAGATTGTTTTGGCTGTCACAGTTGGAGGAAGTGCTGCTGGTATCCGGTGGGTGGAGGCCAGGGGTACAGCTAAGTATACTACAATGCACAGGACAACTCTCAAAGCAATGAATTTTCTGGCCCAAAATGTCAGTCATGCCTGTGTTGAAAAAGCCTGGGCTAGACCAACATTTAACCAAAACGTGATATCTGCATCATTGGTGGTACAGAAAATGAGTTTAGGACAATCTTTTATTAGTTTTAATATTTTATTGAATATTATATGCACTTATGCATATATCAATATTGAAAATATATGTATTACAAATATAAAAATATATCTTAAAATGTTATAAACCTATATAATTTACATATAAAACCTGTTACTACAAAGATATCATTTGCTTAGGATGAGGTTACAATAGTGTTTAAGTTTTTTTAAAAGTACCACACTGACTTAAAAAATTACAAAGTAAATAGTAGTGTAAATAGACTTCAAAGATGCCATACACAAAAAATTTAGGAGGTAGGAGTATAATCAAGGTTTAGAAAACATTGGTTCAGATCAGGGCTCAGAAAACATTTTCTGTAAAGAACCAGATAGATAGTAAATATTTTCAGCTCTGTTGCAACTACTCCACTCTGCTATTTTGGTGCAAAAGCAGCCAAGGTGATCAGTGAATGGATAAGTCTCCTGAATGCCCTGAGTATTAAACTCAGTGCCCCAGGAGTGGCCTGGTCATGGCAGGGTAGAACACTAGTTAGTAGGACTTAAAATAGTTATAAAGTAATAATGCCCATTTTTCACACACGTTGACAAGGCATGATATTTCCTCCATCTTGCATGGGTACATTTAGTGGGGTTTGTGTTTTATCAAAAAACACATCTCATAAGTATCACAGTTCAACTTTTGCATGCAGAATTTGTAATAGAGTGGGTTCAAATTTCAAGCCCTTCCTTTACCAACTGTGTCCTTGTGGGCCTATTCAATTACCCTTTCAGAGCTTCAATTTCCTGCTTCGTAAAATGGGGAGAACAGCACCTGTCCTGTACAGTTGTTGGAAAGGTGAAATGCAACACATAATGAAAATTACACATTTAGCAAATGTTCTGTCTATTCACTCTCCCTTCTTTCCTTCTCTCCTTCAATTCTTCCACTTATTCATTGAGGATGCCCTTTTTATCATTGCCATTGATAAAGATGCTAACCAAGTCTAGAGCATCACATCCCTGCAGCACACCACTAGATGCCTCTCTGAAAATTAAAAAAACAATCCCTTAGTTAATACCTTTTGAACATGTTTTGCCAACTGCTTACAAATGTACCTAAACATCAGTCATTCCAGCCTGTATTTCTTTCCTTCGGCTAAAGCAATAGACAATTACTGAGCATCTATTTTGTGTCAGGCACGATACTAGGCACTAAGCATGGTAATAGGAACCAGATACAAACAGAAGACGTGGCTTCTGCCCCAGATACAAACAGAAGACATGGCTTCTGCCCCAAGGAGCCTACAGCCTTGGGTGGTGAAGAGAAGATAGTAAGCAAACAGATGATCATGGTTTTCACACCTGAGGACTCTCCTGTAAACACAGGCAAGGCATTGACTGACACAAGTATTGAGAAATAGGAATAAATGAGGTGAAGATGGTTTGGGAACACATTCCAGGGCAAGAGCATTGAATGCATAGTTGCAGGTGATCAAGGGGTTAGTTGTTTGGAGACAGAAGTAAAGAAGTGGGAATGAGTTTGTGTTAATAATTTGGGCCAAATCATGTAGGGTGTGGCAGGTACATGACACTATGTTTAAACTACTGTTTGCAGGCTAATGGTTTTCACCTTCCTTTTGGAATTAGAGCCTGTATTTAGAGCAGATCTAGGGGATAACTATATTATATAAAACTCGTGCTACAGAGACTGATGTTCTGCTGGGTGTCCGTCACCAGCGGGGCAGAGGCCACGTGTCATAAGATGCTGCATTTGAGTTGATTTGGTTCTTTGCCTCAAATAGTACAGTTCATGATGCGTTAACTGAATTTTCATTTGCATCACTCCTAGAGCAGTAGTTTTGTAGACTTGAGAGGCTTTCAAAGTTCTCTTGGGTGAGGCTCTTAGATCCGAGTTTTAGAAAGTCGCTCCAACAGCTCTGGAGACTGGACTGAAACTGAGCGTGCTGTGAAACCACTTGAAAGGCCATGTCTGTCAATAACCAGTGAGGGTCTCATTTGAGGCCGTGTCAACAGGCGACTTCACATGTACCAGCCCTACAAAAAAGGCATGATTTACCCCGTTTTGCAGTTGAGGAAGCCAAGATTCAGAGGTTAAACAATGTGGCCAGTGTCAAGAAGACAGTAAGTGGCAAAACATGGACCCAGATCTGTCTTGACTCCCCAAACTGAGGCCACATGTTAACCTTCCCAGCCTCCTTCTCAGCTAACTCCTGTACTCTGCTTTCTTTTCTTGCTCTCCTGTGGTTCTCCATAGTTACAAAAGGGGTGGGTTTATCGGGGCATTTGTCTTCTTCTCAGGACTCTTCCTGATGTATAGTTGGCATTCAGTGGATATTTATTAATAGAATGTTTTACAATTCTTTTGGTGGATTCACCTAGCTTCCTGGAAAACTACCTCCTTCATTCTTAAGGAAAATTAGGCATTCAAGAACATGCTAGGGTTCACACATCAAGAAGATGACCTGATTGGTCCCAGAGGTCTTTAGCTGTTTCTCTAGTGCCCCAACAGGCAGTCATTGGCCACTTGACCAATCCCTATTTGACAAACTCAGTAGCATGGTACCTGGTACCTTTCAAAGTAGCCAGCTGTCCTCCATTTAATCCCATCCTATTTAAGAAGGTCTCACGCTGCCCATGTATCTTTGAAAGAGAAGAAACCACAGCCTCTTGTTGATCACACACTACCTATGAGGTGGAGTTTCTTATCTTCCTTTGCATTTTTCTCTCTTCTTTATCTTCTTGAATCAACTTGGAGCCTTCTACCTTAAGGAAACTCATGCTTTCTGGTTTCCAACTTTTTTCCTTAAAAGATTCTTCCCACCAAACAAGAATATCTATTGACTGCTTTCATCCCCAGCTCCTGGCTTCCGTTATCCCTAGCTCTGTGCCTTTATAGGAACCATTGCTAATTAAACTAGAAAGTGGAGAGAGGAAAGACAGGATTTGGGCAAAATATGAGCCGTGGAATTACATTTTTTTTGCCTCTTCCATCGTTACTTCCTGTAATACCCAATGTGGAAATCCAAGCACAGTTGGAATGGAGTGGCTGTGACCGATAAAAGGGCTGCTTTTGCAGGGTGAGCACCAAGTCCCTAGCCCCACTCCCATCACCCTTTGCCACTCTGGGGACTTCACCCTCCTGCTCCCATTGTCATTTGTATTAAATTAGGTGGGAAATGGACCGACGTAAACCACTAATGTGGTAAACCACTAATGTGGTAAACCACTAATAAGATGCTGTATTTTTATAAATATATGATTTAATACTATTCAGTAGGTGGCTTTTTTTAAGTTGATTTAGTTCGTTGCATTGAACATCATAGCTCATAATGTGTTAACTAGATTTTTCCATTTGTGTCACTGAAGAGTTATGTGAAAACTACAAAGAGAAAAACAGCTCTTTGGAAACAATGGAAGGAAGGAAGTTAATTGAATTTACATTAGGCATAGCAATAATTTAAAGCATAATTGAAAGTTTCAGAGGAGAGGCATGTATTCATATGTCCTAAGTCAGATTTCTTTTGGATAAAATATTCAAATGTAGAACTTACTGATATATAATATAACCTCATGCTCCATTTCCTTATGCATGTCGAACACTTTTGGATGGTAAAATGCATTGAGTTTCCTGTGTTTAGAAATTCCTTAAATGAAAGATATAAATTCCACTTCCAGTTAATCTGAAAAAGAATTACAAAATTTAACTGTGGTTTCTGGCTTCATATTCTTATGATACTTGCTAGATTTCATGCAAAGCCCATCATAAAAAGGGTTCTAAGTTACTACATAATCCTCAGCTAGAGGATTCAGAAAATAATTATTTTCTTTATTTTTGATGACATGCATTTACTAACTTTTGAATGACAAACTTGTATAGATTTTTTTTTTCTTTTTGAGATGGAGTCTCGCTCTGTTGCCAGGCTGGAGTGCAGTGACATGATATCAGCTCACTGCAACCTCTGCCTCCCAGGCTCAAGTGATTCTCCTGCCTCAGCCTCCCAAGTAGCTGAGACTACAGGTGTGTGCCACCACGCCCAGCTAATTTTTGTATTTTTAGTAGAGATGGGGTTTCACCATGTTGGCCAGGATGGTCTCGATCTCTTGACCCCATGATCCGCCTGCCTTGGCCTCCCAAAGTGCTGCGATTACAGGCATGAGCCACCACACCCAGCAGTATAGCTTGTTTAGTTAATAAAGATATTTGATCCAAGTTGGTTCAACTTCAGAAGTAGAACCAAAAACATCATCCTCGATGCCTCTTAGAAAGCTGACCTGCAAAATATCCAGACTGGCATTACCTGTGGCTCCCTGTGGGAGATCACTTTCTGTAGGTCATCGCTGATGATGTCGTGCATGGGTCTCCGGCCTTCTGTCCATCCCCCTCTTCCCTTTCTCAGCATCTCCAGCCACAGCATTTCAGTCTTTCACACACTCAGTCCCTATCAGTCACCCTGTGTAGCTTTAGAAAACTAGAACCTCAATTATTATCTTTCTCTCCTGAAACTGAAGCTTCACTATCAGATTAATGCTTTACCTTTGCTTTTAATTTTTTTAATTATGGTAAATACAGATAACATAAAATTTGCCATCTTAACCATTCTAAAGCATACAGTTCAATGACATTAACTACGTTCACATCATTGTGCAACCATCATACCACTCACGAGGAGCTGCATTTGTTATTTCCTATTCCCATCAGGAAATGGTGCCGTCTTAAAATGATTCCCTGTAAGATGAGCAGTGGAACTTTACTTGCCCAGTAGACCCTTTGTCTCTTAGGACTAAACAACTGAGTTTTAAAATAGTTTTGATGCATTTATATAGCACGTTAGCCAAATTGAATTTCCTCTTTCCTCCTTGTCTTTAAACAGCTCTGAGCAGCGGGTCCCCTGTTCCACTTCTTACCACAGCTCTGGGTTGCACTCGGGTGACGGGGTCACCAAAGCAGGACCTATGGGCCTTCCAGAAATAAGACAAGTGCCAACTGTTGTGATTGAATGTGATGACAATAAAGAAAATGTGCCTCACGAGTCAGACTACGAAGACTCTTCTTGCCTGTACACAAGAGAAGAGGAGGAAGAGGAGGAGGACGAAGACGATGACAGCTCATTATACACCAGTGCGTTCATCTTAACTCTTCACCAGGGGTGGGGAAGCATGCTATTGTGGAAAGAGAGCAGAGAGCAGACCCAGCAGCCCAGCATTCTGGGTTCTAATCCCCACTCTGGTGTTGACTGGTCCTGGGTCGTAGGGCAGCTTAGTCTACCTCTTGGGGCCTCAGTTCCTACATCAGTAAGAAGAGAGGGTAAATGCCCTCCTAGCTCTAAAAATTACCACCACCTCCTACCTCTTTAAATGGCTTATTCTTTGTTGCTTCCCTTAGGATGCAACTTCTCCAGCAACCCAAAAAAAAAAAAAAAAAAAAAAAAAAAAAGTTTAAAACTCTGTCTAGCAAACACTCAAATACTACCCACTGTATATGCAACAAATTCAGTTTTTAAGCATACCTCAGCAACTTTGAAGGCCTCAATTTAAATTTCTTATTTATGACCTTTAAATGTGCTAAGAGACAAGAGAAGAAATGAAGAAAGCAAAGTTCAAAACCTATCACTCTAGCCATGAACAGTAAATAAATTTTAGTTACATGAGTACAGCCTGATATTTGGCCAACTTTTTAATAAATGAACTTATGAGACTAGCAACAATGCATTGAACATGTACTGTGTGCCTGACAATGGGCTATGGTTTTAATCTCTCACCTACATCTCACAACCCTGAGGCACGGACGCTATTGCCTCATTTTACAGATAAGGGCAGAAAATGGAGAAGCAAGGCACAGGCCCAGGGCTTCACATCTGCTAAGGGGCAATGCTGGGGTTTGATGCAGGCTCTGTCACATTCTAAAGCCCATGTTCTAAAACCAGCGGAGGAAGAAAGAAGAAAAGCACTACACAATAAAGCCCAAAGGCATCCTCAGACTTGTTGCCTGCTGGCGTTTTCTCTTGCTCTCTACTTACCAGGCTTCAAATAGCTGGCTCCGGGTGAGGCCTGGCAAGCTATGAAAGGATCCAAATGATGTCAAGGACAGAACCACACAGGGCAGCCAAAGACCTCAATGATCCATGAATGGAGGGAGCAACTGCTCAGCCCCTGTTTTGCTGTTCAGTATCCAGAGAACTGAATGTTTTATAACGGGGTTTCTCAACCTCAGCACTCCCAGCATGTGGGACCAGATAATTCTTTGGTGTGGGCCATACTGTGCACTGTGGGGTGTTTACAGGCATCCCTGGCCTCTGTCCACTAGATGCCAGTAGCACCCTCTGCCTGCCACCTTAGTTTTGACAAGCAAAAATGCCTTGAGATATTGCCAGGTGTCCCCTGGGGAGCAAAATCACCACTGGTTGAGAACCACTGATTTATGTAGGGAAGCCCTGCCTCAGCTGCTCAGAAACCCCAGGGTTAAAAAGAAAAAACCCACCCCAGGATATTGCCTATTTCAAAGCCCTCACCTCCACTCCCACCCCCAACCAGCCCCACTTTGTCTGCCTACCTTTTTTCTCCTTCACATCCCCCCAGCTCCAGTGTAGTTGATCTTTTCTGTCTCTTGAGATTTCCTGGTGTAGCCTTCACCACTGAACTTTTGCAGACACAGATCCCTGCCCACCTGCTGCCTGTTGGACTCTCATCTCTGCTTCAGGTGTCAGCCCCTCCTCCTCGTGAAACTTCCCCTAATTGCTAACGGCCTCTGTCCTGTCTCCCCCTTTGCAGTCCACTGCACCCCACAGCCAGTCCTGCCCTCCTTTGTGATGTCGCCTGCATGCTAGGTGTTCCTGGAGAGCAGAGACCCAATCACAGGCTCCCCGTGTGCTGTCCATGTGCCCCACACAGTGCTAGGGGGGTAGAGTGTGTGGCAATGGCAGGAACTCTAGGAACTGAGGCCTTAACCACTTTCAGGTGTTAAAGCGTTGATGACTTCCTTCCTGCCTTGTATCTTATGGCCCAGGGTTGGCCCTGTGGGAGCCCAGGCAGATACATCAGCCTTAGTTGACTCATTTCTCTCTCCTACAGGCTCCCTGGCCATGAAAGTCTGCAGGAAGGACTCCTTAGCCATCAAACTCAGCAACAGGCCCTCCAAGCGAGAGCTGGAAGAAAAGAACATCCTTCCCAGGCAGACGGATGAGGAGCGGCTGGAGCTGAGGCAACAGATTGGCACCAAGCTCACCAGGTAGGACAGCGGCACCTTCTGCCTCCCTGGTAGTGGGCCTTTAGCTCTCCAAATTGTAGCAAAAGAATTCACTCTCAGCCAGGCGCAGTAGCCTATGCCTGTAATCCCAGCACTTTGGGAGGCCAAGGCAGGCGGATCACATGAGGTCAGGAGTTCAAGACCAGCCTGACCAACATGGTGAAACCCCATCTCTACTAAAAATGCAAAAATTAGCCAGGCATGGTGGCTTCTAATCCCAGCTACTTGGGAGGCTGAGGCAGGAGGATCACTTGAATCCGGGAGGTGTAGGTTCCAGTGAGCTGAGATCGTGCCATTGCACTCTAGCCTGTGTGACAGAGCAAGACTCTGTCTCAAAAAAAAAAAAAAAAAAAAAAGATGCAATGGAAAACATCCCATTTTGTCTCCAAGGTTGTTTCTATAGTGCTCTCTCTTTCATTTATCCAAATCTTGGAAAATTCACTTGATTCAAGGTTCAGGGAGAAATTGAGAGGCAGGTTTCCAGGGAGAATAATCATCTGTAGAAAAGCCTCCATCATCTGGCCAGGCACAGTGGCTCATGCCTGTAGTCCTAACATATTGGGTGGCCAAGGCGGGCAGATTGTTTCAGCCCAGGAGTTCGAGGCCAGCCTGAGCAACAAAGTAAAACCCCATCTCTACATAAAATAAAAAATTAGCCAGATGTGGTGGCACATGCCTATGGTCCCAGCTACATGGGAGGCTGAGGCAGGAGGATGGCTTCAGCATAGGAGGTCAAGGCTGCAGTGAGCCATTATTATGCCACTGCACTCCTAGCCCAGGTGACAGTGAGAAAGAAAAAAGAAAAAGAAAAGAGAAAAGAAAAGAGAAAAGAGAAGAGAAGGGAGAAGGAGAAGGGGAAGGGGAAGGGGAATGGGAAGGGGAAGGGGAAGGGGAAGGGAGGGGAAGGAAGGAAAGGAAGGCCTCCATCATGTAATAGAACTGACCTATGGAGAGATAAGGTGTGGTTTGATTAAGCACAAAGAAGTCAGATAAACAAACTCTCTGCTATACGGTTAAGTGGTTGGTAGTGATGCCTCATTACTCCACTGGGACTCTTTTTGAGTGATTGCCCTTTATGTATGGATATTACAGACATAGGCATAGCTTTATATTATATTAAGATATTAATCACTTATGTATGTATTTGTAATCAACGGCATGTTTATGTGACATTAGGTAACCTTTGTTGAGTACTTATTATTTGCCACCATTCTCTAAACATTTTATATGTATTAAATCATTTGTCTTTGGGCCTCTCTATAAGATACACATTCGTACACCCATTTTACAGATGAGAACACCAGGCATAGAGAACTTTGGTTGCTTTGCATAATGTCACACAGCACAGCTCTGGAATTCTCTCTCGAGCCCTCACTTTGTACCAGACACTGTTGTGAGTGCCTGGACGTAATGTGTGGAAGTCTACCAGGGCTTAATTTCTGATTCTCCCTCTTACTAGCTGTATGGCCTTAAGTAAGTCACTTAGTCCCTTTCTCTGTGTTGCTGCATAAGTAAAAGAGTGAGTTGTGAAAATTAAGCAAGTTAATAGAAGTATTTAAAACAGTGTCTGGCCCATAGCAAGCAATCAGTTACCTGTTGTTACCATCACCTTTGCAATGTACAAGTGAGGAAGGTGGTGCATAGAGATTATGTAGACATAGGCGTCATCCAACTGTATGCCAGTATTCTTCCCTCCCACCTGATTTACTTTGTTACCTAAGGGCAGCTTCTTTTCCAAAATTAACTTGGTTTCCTCTTGGAGGATGTTGTAATGGTACAGGGCTTTGTAAAATGGTCAACACTGATGGATGATTGGACATAGTATTATGCAGTCTTTAGAGTCATAGAATGAAAACATCTAACCACCTGCCACACACACATACATACTTTCTCTCATTGATTGGAGTAACACGGCCTTCTCTTTTAATACCTCAGTGATAGTTGCAGCTCTCTAGAGAGCCTGTCCCATTGTTGGAGAGCCTTATTGTTAGGCATTTTTCCAATATTGAACTGAAATCTGTCCCTGCCACTCCCATCCATTGGTCTTATTCTGTGTGTTCTGCACCTTCATCCCCTGTAACACGGCATGCTTTAGCATACTTGAAGATAATGATCCTGGCCTCCCTGATCTCTCTCACGTTACATAGAACCATATGTCAGTTCTGAGATTGGTTGGGGTGGGTGGGTAGGGTTCTGGGCTACTCCTGACCCAGCTTGTTCAAGTTTACACATTATCCTCTAGGGGATTAGAAAAAAGAGAAGGAGCAGATCTTTTATCATAGCTCCTTCCCCTCACTTCCCATTCCTCCAGCTCTGC